GTCCATGTCCTTGCAGAGTTTAGCAACCTGTAACTTTCTAGTAATCTTGAAGACCTTGATGAGCTTGTTCAGGTGTGTTTGATTAGGGTTAGAGCTAAACTCTGCAGGAAAGTGGGCCTCGAGGGCCAGAGTTGAGAACCCCTGGTATAGACAAAATGAATACAGTTTATGTGGTTATATTAATCAAAAAGAAATTGGCAATGTTTACATAATCATAGGGATTAATATATATTCATAAAACTAAGTAAATGGGACATTTCAAACAAAACATATATAATAAAATCTACTTATTTACTTCAGTAAATAGTAGGGTTTACTTAATATTTTGATAAATGCAAGGTTCCTGTCTATAAAATAATAAATATACTTTACTTAATTACTTTAAATAAACAACTTTTAAATGAAATATAATATAATATAAAATATATTTGCTTAATTAGGGTGCAATTAGATTTAATTTCTTCATGAATGTTAAGTTTAGTAGTAAGTAGATTTTACTTAATAATAGCGAGTAAGTTGTACTTGATATTAGAGCAGTAAAATTTACTTAAAATGTATTTGAGCAATTTGTTACGAAAAATGTTTTAAGTAAATCTTACAAGTTATTTTTTTCAGTGTACAGTAACATTGACACTGTGATGTTATGGGAGGCCCTTCATACTTCATCACCAATAAATTCCTCATGCATGTCATTAATATTCATGCACAAAATTCCACAGTGATGGAAGACAAAGCGTTCCCACAAAGGCCACAGCGAAATGCAGTGTCAGGGCTGATAAAATAACCATTTTCATTCTGAAATATTGAAAATGATAGAATATGGTTGAATATATTTAGTTTTTACGTAAATAAAAAAGTATTAAATTATTAAAAATATTAATGTTATTTCTTAAACCTTAAAATGATGTGAACTAAGAAAAGTGAGATTACAACACACTCTAATGGCTATTTAATATTTTACTGTATATTTGCACTGTATATATACACACACATATACATATACATACATTTTCTGTCAATATGGGGTGCTGTGTGTACATTAATGAGGAAAAAAAATGAACTTAAATGATTTTAGCAAATGGCTGCAATATAACAAAGAGTGAAAAATTTAAGGGGGTCTGAATACTTTCCGTACCCACTGTATATATACACACATACATACATACATGCACACACACACACACACACAGTACTAAATGAAAAGTAGTATAGTATAGTATAGTATATACTAGACAGACAGACAGTTACATTTTCTCACAAGATTGGATTGGACATTATTTTTTTTTAAATGCAAATACAACAAGGCTAAAAACAACCCCAGTAAATGAGGGTCACATTGTCACATTAGCCTTCATAATTACTCCCAGTTATTTCCTTCAGTTCTGTTACCACAAGGCTTTTTAAGCTCCACACCAGCCAGTGTCATGGCCAGGGGGCATCTCACACCAGCCTGACCCTGCAAACACTCTCCCCTCTGGGCAGAGCTGCTCCTCCAGCTCCCTTTGATGCTTAATTACACTGCTCTGTCATCTACCGACAAGCCACTGTGACAGTAGGGAGGCAAAGAGACGACCAACATAAACAAGACAAGAGCTCCACAATCAAACATGCAACTAGAACCACTTCAGTTCAGGTCTGATCCTCTAACAGAAGACTTGGAATATAACAGAACACAACATTTATGGCCATTTTTGCAGCTGGACAGTATCTATCACCTTGTTTTGAATGGCAAAATAACACCGCAAAGAGATTTGACAGTAATGAGCGGTATCAGTATTGCATGTCAGGCTCTGTAAGGAAGTGTTGCTATTAAACTGAGCAGTATATGAGAATAAGGAAATAGCATATGTCAATAAAACTGACTACTGTTGGCAAAATGAGCAAAAAAACAATGTTCTCATACACGAGTCGAGCAGTACACCACAAAACGCTTGAAAAGCACAGCAGTTTAGCAGCAGGGGAAATCCCATTGCAAATGATGGAGCAGAGTAGAAATACAGAAAGACATTAATTCTGACAGACACTTTGAGATGCAGTGAAGCCCAACTGAGGAGCTCTTGCAGGTATGAATTAAAGGAACTGAACAGGAAGTGCGGTTTTGATGCTCTTCAAAAGAGGGGCTCTTCTTTTAACGGCCATATATGCGGCGACAAGGACAGTTGATACAATTTTAAGCAACAAAGAATGAATCAATTAAGGCAGAAATAGCCTAAAATATATATAGATACACATATAATTATGACAAAGGAGACATTCTATAATAGCTGCTCAGTTAACAGTTCAATCAAAATGACAAATTCTGTCATCATTTATTCACACCTCACGTCGTTCCAAAGCTGTACTTCAGTTTTTTTAGTGGATGAAAAAAGAGAGACATTTTTAAAGAATTCATTTGGGAACTGGGAAGCCCCAAAAGCACCATAGAAGTAACATAAAATACTCATGACTTTTGCACTATATTTCAACTTCCAACTTTTGTGGTAGAAACATGCTGAAATCCAAGTCATTATTTACTTCAGAATCTTTACTTCAGATCATTAGATTATTCAGATCTAATGGCTAGTAAACACCAACATTATTAAAAAGCAGTGTAATTTTAGTATAACCGAGATACTGTTACAGTTTTTATTAATATTTTCCATTTTCATTTTAGTCTGTATATTTATTTATTTATACATTTGGTTGTGTGGTTTTGTCATTTTTTAAATATGTCTATATAATTTATGTTTATATGTTTTATTAATTTGATTTTAGTATATCAAGTTAAATGTATTTGATTTAGAATTTTTATTATTTAATACACACGTTAAACTAAATAAAAATGAGAAATGTTGCCTTAGCAACTAGCTGAAAGAAAGTTTTTTTTATATTTATATAATTTGAGTGTATGTTTATTTACGTAACTGCATATTAAAGGGGTCATAGGATGTCCATTTTCCACAAGTTGATATGATTCTTTAGGGTCTTAATGAAAAGTCTGTAACATAATTTGGTTAAAATTTCTAAATGGTAGTGTAAAAAACACCTTTTTTTTACCCTGTCAAAAACAGTTCTTTTCAGATCAAGCCATTTTTGTAGCATTTTCCTTTAAATGTTAATGAGCTCCGCTGACCCCGCCCCTCTCTTCCAAGCTGCTCTAAGAGAGACGGTTTACTTTAGCCGCATTCATCGTAGGGCTGTCGCGGTGAAGCAACCCTCTACGGACACCTTGGCAATTGAATCGCCATTGACTAGTATATTTTTTTGTTTACTCGCCAGACTGAAATACTAATATATATATATATATATATAAAAGTTATGCCATTTTACAAACATATATAATGTTTGTAAAATGGTACAGCTTTTTAAATATCTTAAAGTACACTCTTAATATCAGTCAGTCAAGCATTATAATATGATAATCAAGTATTATTTAATAATAGAAGTTCAGTTCAAAAAACTTGTAAAAGTGCATGTAGCATTCGCGTGTGCCTCACACGTCCTGAAAAGTGAAGCTGCGGGCTCTTTGATCGCCCCCTGGTGGCTGGCTGCAGTACAGATCATAAACCCCGCCCTCTCCATGTAAACGAATGGAACTAGAGTCAAAATAAAAAAATTAATTAAGCTTCCAATAAAATTTTCCAAAAGATGGTCTTTTATTGGTCATTTAAGGTAGTTGTTATCACGCTGATATGTTAAATTGTTAGTTTTTGTGATAAGTTTGATTTTAGCTAGTAATGTGATGCTATAAAAACGGGGCGTGTCGTTATGGTTGATTGGGTCTGCAGGAGTTTGATACCGCGGCTCCACCTCACGACACTACTGCGCAGACTCGGGCTCCAAATGACATAATTTACTCAAGATGGCAGCGGCCATACTGAGATGCTTTGGCTTCCCTTTATCTATAGTGGAAGGAATAGGAGACGAGTCGTCCATCTTTTTTTACAGTCTATGGTAGCATCCTATGACCCCTTTAAGTAATTAGATATATAATGTATATAATAACCTGGGTACATAGACATGCAATTACCAACACCCCTTCATACCATTTTTATAGAATAAAAGTATTTTTATGAAATTTTTACTGTCATATGCATGACAGTCCACATTAATTTTCATTATGTGAAAAACAAGAGTGGTCTGGATATTCTTTAAAAAAAATATATATATATATATATATATATATATATATATATATATATATAT